TACAGCTATTTAATGCAACTGAGGGGAAAAACACCTACTTCCAAAAGTTCTTGATCTTGCATCTAACACTCCTGAAGCACTCCATCTCTGAGTAATCCTACAACAACCATCATCATAGCAATTGTCACTGAGCTCAGCTAGAAAAGGTCATTTAGCGAGGTGAGAAAAGATGTGATTCAAGGTCCTCATGCAGAGTAACGCAGGGTATACTACATGGACAGCACACGCACGCACACACAGGTTATTTACAACTGCGCCACGATCGGGAACGCCGTTGGTTTCCACAACACGGCGAAGCTAACGCAGCCTCCCCCCGTCGCGAGCAGCCCAGCTTAGTCAAAGTCACGGTTTGTGAGAACCAGCGGGGCCACCAGAGTCCACACGTAGAGCATGATGCCAATCCAGCTGGAAGAGATCTTCACCCAGACAGACGGCCACTTGCTGGTCATGGTCTCGTAGGAGGAGTCCGGGCTGTGAAAGAAGGAAAGGGGAAGAGATGAGGTTTGTTTCAGTGTGACATGCCCATCTAGTGAGTCGCTCTTCAGCGAAATCTCCGCCCATCATCCGTACGAAACCAGCATTTCCAAGCTGGTGTCTCGGGAAGGTAGAGGGCAACAGCAGCCCAAAAAGCTTCGCAAGAGAAGCTGTCAGGAAGCAGAAATCATTACGAGGAATCGAGGAATCTCTGAAGTGCGTCTGTGGAATGGCAGGAAATGGACAGCACCTACAGATACAAATAAAGCATTTCACCTTGCCAACAGACGGCATCTAGAAGAGTTAACCACCTTGATGTCATTGACCCAAGCCGGGCTACAGATCAAATCCACAGCAGGGCTATCAATTAAGAGCTGTTTTTGAAGAAAACACCTTTGTAGTTTTGCTATTTTGATACAAACTGTCCTTCAACAAAATTTTAGAGACCATAACTGTTGGGGTTTTTTTTAATTTCCGAAGAACATCTGCTCAAGCTGTTAACGGAGTACCGGCAAGCGCACACAGCAGAAAGACTCCCTGACTAACACTTCACGCATGGGAGGACCATTTTATTGTGAGGTTTCTTTTCCTGCTACAGACGCCGTCACAAAGTGGCCAAGGTTGGAGAGGACCTCTGACAGTTATCTTGTTCTATCCCCTGCTCAAGGCAGGATGCCTAGAGCCAGCTAACCAGGACCAGAGGGATTTGGAGTATCTCCAAGGATAGAGGCTCACAACACCTCCTCCCTTGGGCAACCTGTGCCAGTGGTCAGTCACCCTCGCAGCGAGAAAGTGTTTCCTTGTGTTCACACAGAACCTCCCGTGTTTCTGCGTGTGTCCACTAACTCTGGTCCTTTCACTGGGCACCACTGAAAAGAGCCTGGCTTGGTCCTCTTTGCACCCTCAATTCAGGTATTTATATACATTGATAGGATCCTCCTGATGCTTCTCTTCCCCAGGCTGACTGTCCCAGCTCCCTCAGCCTCCCCTCATGTGAGAGATGGTCCTCTTAAATCATCTTTGTGGCCCTTCCCTGGACCCTCTTCAGTGTTTCTGTGTATCTCTTGCACTGCAGAGTCCAGGACTGGATCCAACCCTCCAAGCGTGGTGTCACCAGTGCTGAGTAGATGGGAAGGATCACCTCCCTCCACCTGCTAATACAACACATCCTACCTCTCCTTTTTCCAGCTCCCTGTGCCAGACACAGGCCTGGTGTTTACTTATTTTTAGTTGTAGAATTTAAGACTCCATCCTGTTCAACAGGATGTGTATCAGTATCCAGCGATTGTGAGAATTGTCCTAGAAAACATGACAGGCACTTGTGAACAAGGCTGGCTATTCCAGTTTTCAAACACAACTTGCTTAATATAGCCCAAACCGTGCACTGCCCCCTGAGAAGTCCCACTTGGGACCTACATCCCTCCGCACACAACTTACGCCTCGTATGCTGCAGTAGCATGATCCAACGCCCATACCTGTACCAGTTGGTAAGCGTCATCATGATGTACAGCGACGCCAGGAAAAGCATGAAATGAAAGAAGGAGTAGCTGTAGGTAACTCCATCCCGCTCGTTATCTATGGCGCGATGAACATCGTCGCCGTCATCAAGGGAGCCGTCGCTCCTGGGCATGCCATCCTCTATCAGTGTCGACTCGTCGCTGGTCAGCATCAGCTTGTTAACTTGGCTGTTGTTGGATGTTCGGATGCTGCATGTGACGGGAGAGGACACAGTCACCCCACTAAGTACAGTTTCGTATCTGACAACGAGGAGTTATACACGTCAGCTAATCCATTTGTCCGAGGACTCTTACCTTGAATAGAGAACGCAGAGCAGGAACAAAACCAGTCCTACAATCCCTTGTGCATCCCACCACTGGACTACCTGGCCCTGGGTTGGAACGGTGGTGCTGTTGTAACCAATGATGCTCAGCAGACTTGGGTTACAGCGCCTGTCTGGGGGGAGGGAGAACAAACCAAGTAAGCAGTGGTACGCTTCCACGCTGAACACGCACTAACGGGGAGGAACTTTGTGACTGACAAAGTGCAAGAGCTTTGAACCTAATTTTTAGCCTACAGTCTCTCCAAAGCAGGGAGCTGACAGTGTGTGCAAAGAGATAGGTCTTTTTGAGCAGATAAAGGATTTTAAAGTCACGACTTCTTTACAGTTCCATCTCACTTAATTAGATGCAACAAAATAAAAACTGCTCTGCATGCTAGGCTTCAGAAATTCTACCACCAGAGAGCACATTTGACAGCCATACGCTCTACAGGTGGGGTACCAGAGTCTGCCGAGTCGGAAAGCTGCTACGGGGTCAGCTTCGTATTGCCAACAGCTCCCAGCATCCACAGGTAACACAGATGCAAGGGCTCAAAGTAGCAGATGGTTTTATCTCCCCATAATTACTGCAGCAATTATGTGGCTCACATGCTGTTACACACAAGAAATTAAAAAACACCAATAAGTATTTGGCAGTTTATTTTAATCACCAGAATTTCTTAGTTTATTTACTTATCTTAGAGATGCTCAGCTGTTTTCAGACAGGAGAAACACTGAAAACATTTGTTAATCCTCAGTTAGGAAAAAAAGTACCAGTAGCATCTCAGTCACCCGGTATATTGGGTTTGTGTGGCAGTTTTGGCAGCAGGGGGGCTACAGGGGTGGCTTCTGTGAAAAGCTGCTGAAATCTACCCTGTGCCGGATAGACCCAGTGTCAGCCGGCTCCAAGACGGACCCTCTGCTGGCCAAGGCCAAGCCCATCGCATCACAACGACTCTGGGAC